GTTAGTTACTTCGCTTATAACTCAAGAACGGCTGAACCGATTTAGCTGAAAATTGTCAGGGTACCTCCCTAGAGCCAGGAGAAGGACATAGGATACTTTTTATCCCGTTCGAAATTTAAAAAAAAGTCTGCTTATTTATTGCCATTAAGGCGGAACAAAGTTCGCCGGGTCAGCTAGTTTTTACTAAGGGCCGATTTTTCAATAGTCGGATAACTTTTAACTGAAGAATAAGTTTGTCACATTGACAGTTTCAGTATGGGCAATGTGTCAAAATGACAAGTTTATTCTTCAGTTAAAAGTTATCCGACTACTGAAAAATTTGCCCTAAGAAAGAATCTTGAGTGACCCTGGCTGAAAAATTAAAAACTACTAGATTTAAAAAAAAAAATGGATCTGTCAACAGCACTGGACCAGAGCCCCGATTACGGTAATTTTTAACGTCAACAATCCAGACACGCTTCTCGATTCTGCGATACGATTGGTCGTTCAACAGCGTACGTCAGCTGTTTTGACCAATCGTATCGCAGAATCAGAAACGCGTCTGGATTGTAGACGTTAAAAGTTACCGTAATCGGGGCTCAGACAGAGCCCCGATTGCGCTAATTTTTAACGTCTCCAATTCATTGCCGCTTCTTCACCAGTTGCGCGCCGTTTTTCATTCCAGCTGAGGTGCAAATTCGGTATCGCGGTAAAGACGAAATAACGGAATTAATCACTTTCCAATAAAAGTCCGAACACCTTATTTTTTTACTATCCACAGCAATGTTCGTGAGGGAGTTTGACTTGGGTTTGAGAAAAAGTAGCTTTCTTTCAGCTTTTACACAAAGAAGCAGAACAGTTGCATTTTGTTTTCGTTTGAACTAGCTGTCAAAGCGACACCGCAATACTAGACTATAGTTCCAAAATACTGGACTGTCCTGTCGATGACATTGACAGTGGGGCGCCACCGTCAATACCGGATCGCTGGTTCAGATTTTTGCCATGTTGGAAACCATATAGTTGAACGATGGTAGCGCCCCCCTGTCATTGAGTTTGGCGGGACAGTTCAGCGTGGGTCATCTATAAGAGCTAGTGAACGCCAGACCTACGTCATTTTATAAAAGCTGAAAGTTTGTCAGCGTATGCTCCTAATATAGGATATAACAAGCGCGCCGAAGCCGGGGGCGGAAAGCTAGTAGGATATAATGTTGGTGAATTATGAAGTTTGGGTCGTGGTGGCTTTGGAAGCTACCCTAAAAAAACTGTCTGGCAAGGAGTTGGAACTGTCAAAACTGTCTGGCTGTTGGGGAAAATACTTCTAATTATTGCCCAAATATTATACATAAAAATCTGATTTTATTCTTTGGCTTTTTCTGTAAATTCAAAAGACTGTAATTCTACTAACGTTATACCATTAAATCTGATTTTTATGTATAATATTTGGACAATAATTAGAAGTATTTTCCCCAACAGCCAGACAGTTTTGACAGTTCCAACTCCTTGAAAGACAGTTTTTTTAGGGTAGCTCCCAAAACCACCACGACCCAAACTTCATAATTCACCAACATCATATCCTATATTGGGAGCATACGCTGACAAACTTTCAGCTTTTATAAAATGACGTAGGTCTGGCGTTCACTAGCTCTTAGTATATACGAATATGTGAATAATTTCGTTCGTCGTCTAGTCGCGTTGTAGTTGAAAATATTTAGCGCAATCGGGGCCCAGGGGTGATTTACTGTTTGTACTCCGAATGACTGTCGTGACTATACCGATCAAAATGGCGCAAATATTTGTATGCGCAACTTTAGAGCCCTGTAACTTTTTTATTTGTAGAGATATTTTCATGATTCTTTCACAATTATTATTAGTTTTATTTACATTTTCAAGTTTTATGAAAAGAAAAAAATTGGAAACTTGTCCATTGCACATCAGCTAGAATTAAATTGGAGCGCGAGTCGCGCGCGACTGGAGATGAAACGCGAATGAATAGACAATTTGACACCATTCCCCAACAATTCGAAATCACACCTAAAAAGGACACTTCATTCTGGTTCTTCATTTTAAATTGTCTATAAATTACGAATACGTGAATCCTGTCTTATTAAAAGTTCTTGAATCGTAACTGCATACAACTGATGAACTGATGCGCGAGCATGCGTCGGAAGCCGGTCGGCTCCGAGCGTATTCCAGCGGATACGCGCGTTCCACCGCATTTTTGGCCGAACGGACGCTGCGCTGCGCGCCGACTTGCGCCGGTCAATGTGAATCCTGCCTTAACGTATAAGATCACCCTCGAATCAATGGGTCTGTATTTCACCAAACTGAGTTATGCAAAAAGACAGTAGGATCGACTAATGTACCTAGTCAAAAAGACTAGGATTTCTATTGGTCAAAGTGTTAATGTTCGACGATTTTACTTAACAAGTACCTACTAAATAAATAAGTTCGGCAGTAAATTAACTCAAATTAAAAATTAGACTAATAGCTATCGATAGACTTATTTGATACTGATGTAATCTAAGTGCCTAGTTATAGTAATCGGTACAAGTATCATAATTATGGCTATGATACCAATGGGATGTAGTATCATTTTACTTCAACGTAAATACGAGTGAGTACTTATTCCAAGCCTAAATTGTACAGTTGAATAATTAATTAGGTATTATAATTATTATAGATAGACAGATAATTAATACAGAGTAACTTTTAAAAGACAATGCCGGAAATTGGCGTCTTTATTTTTCGCGCGGCCATCGATCAAACCTTGTTTTTTGATTACAAAATAGTGTAATAAACCAAACTTATTATGACATGTATACCTCCAAACTCAGTCTGAACTGAGTTACGAGCATCAGACGTTTGATGATTTTCATACTAGATTTGCTGTTTGAGCGCAAGTTTTGTAAGAAATTGCAACAAAATAATAACATTGTATGTGTAAACAAACAATACCATCCATTAAAGGCTCCAGACATCAGTATGCAGCAGAATCAGCGCAATAAAAAAATAGCGCAATATTTTGTTGCAATTTCTTTCAAAACTTGCGCGCAAAAAGCAAATCTAGTATGAAAATCATTAAACTTCTAATGCTCGTAACTCAGTTCAGACTGAGTTTAGAGGTATACATGCCATAGTAAGTTTGGTTTATTACACTATTTTGTAATCAAAAAACAAAGTTTGGTCGATGGCCGCGCGAAAAAAAAAAAGACGCCACCTTCCATACAAAATCTGGCATTGCCATTTGTTGACAACTTACATTACTTACTCATAAGTAAAATTAACAAAGTAATTCTGAAATTACCATTCATGATTTTCATGAAGCATCCAAATAATTCTTATTAATTCTTCTATTTACGCCCTTAGGCTAAAACCTTATAGTGGTTCATTTTATGTAGGGTTTCTGCCTAAAGGTGGACGGACGCGCACCTGTCCGCGCCACATTTTATAAATCTTTATCTACGATCGCGCACCTATCCGCACTGAACGATCCGCATTCCCTAAAAAGCTCGGGCAGATGACGTCATGAAATTCAGCGCGTTCGATGTGTGCAGCTGGTGCAGCGCGTACGGTAGATACACATTACGATTGCAAGTGAGCGAGACTATGAGGTAATGCGATGACTGCGGCGCGGACAGGTGCGCGTCCACCTTTAGGCAGAAACCTCCAGTTAAAATGTAACAGTCAATTATAAATCTATTTCTGATGATATAGTACCAACAAGTTTTGTAATGTACAAATTTTATTATATAAGTAAGTAGTAAGGACTTACTGTTCTGTTCTGTACCTCTAGCACGAAAAACTTTCAACTTCGATTCGCCATCAAAAGCTTTATTTTGAAAACATAAACAGCGCCCCTCTGAACGTGACGTAAACTTGTATGAAAAATGGTAGCATGACTGCACGACACTAATTTTGACAATCGAGATCGTCACGTTATCGTTGAATTCGAAGGGCTTATTCCACTATTCCCCGTTGACAATCCCCGTCAACGGGGACTAGTGAACTTTTTGTTCACTAATCCCCGTTAACGCCAATTGGAGCTTATAATGGGGAATAATGAACTAAAAAGTTCACTAATCCCTGTTGACAATCCCCGTCAAATAGTGGAATAAGCCATTCGAAGGCTGAGTATCGAATTTTGTCGAATACGCAAATAAATGATTCGAAGACGAAAGTTTTTCGTGTTAGAGGTACTGAGGGAGTGATTAATTAATTATAACATTCTACAAATGGGATGTTAATTCACCAAAAAAAATCCACTTAACCAATTTAATGGTTGGTTGGTAATTTAGATATTCAGTTTATTTAGATGGGACAACTGTTTACTAAATAGTATTAAGTACCAACAAAGTAGAGCCCCAGGTAAATAAGCTTCCTGATATGTTTTGGTTTTACATAATGAACTTTGGTGTAGTTTCAATGAGTTTAATAGACCTTATTTGCTACAAATCAATACATCAATAGTTACTCTGTCCAGATTATTACATAATATTGATATAGGTAAGTATGCAAGATAAATATGCTTATAAAATCATGAGTTTTATGCTTTAAGAATACAATAGATATTATAGCAACTACAATAATATGCAAAGTACAATCACATTAATCCAGCTTAAATGCAGGCCATAAATGTGTTTTGTAAGTACAAGTATAAAATATTGGAATGTAGGTACATATAATTAAGATGCATCTTCTTTATCATATAGCTGAATGTTACTAACTTATTACAATAGTACTTACAACTTATGTGTAAGTTTAAAACACTTAAATGTAGTTTAACTTCAATTAGAAAAATATGCATCTTATTTGTGGCTAGATTAATGAAATTGTACTATGCCAATAATTCACTTAAGCTTTTTTTTATCCACAAATAAATATATTTGTGAAACATTTACAAATCTATTAGACAAGCTCCAATTACAAAACCATTCAGATGTTTTTAGCTGTGCATTGGTGTTTATTTAAAGAGGATTCTTTATGAATACAGATACTGTTCCATAAATTTCTGCCTTTCTAGCATAATAGCTACAAAGTACACTACACAAGACAAATATAGGTAAATGCTCAAGATGTGAGGTGGATGTATAAAATCACCATTACAAGGTCTGCTCTTGATTGCAAGATTCAATAAAACATGCAATAGATGTTTTTTCTGTTTTCTACGCAGTTACCTATACCTAGGTGTAGAATTCTCATTTTGTAGGTAGAGTACCTCTAGAAAATTAATTAATAACCTAAAGCACTGAATATCCTCTTAAACATCATCAACAGTGGGCAACCAGAATGCCATATTGGTACATGCTGATGCTAACATCATAAATTTTGGATTAAACTGTACACATTGTATTGGTGCTGGATGGTCTCCATTTAAAACACATACTTTGTAACCAGTGTCAGCATTCCAAACATGAACCCTGCCATCTGTTGAACCACTAAATATATATTGGGAATCTGGACTGAATGAAGCTTCTATTGGAATTCCTTTATTATTCAGGTGTCCTGTGAAGGTTTGTAGAGGGGTTCCATGATAAGCATCAACAAGACGTATAATTGAGCCATTAGTACTTATCAACATTGTTTTGCCATCCCGTGAAAATTTTAAACCTGTCCAATCACACTCCTTTTCTTGATTTAGTTTAAATGTCACAAATGGGCCTTTATCAAAAGACCTCAAGTCATATAATTTGATACTTTCAGAATTTACTCCTGCAGCAAATATAAGACCCTCAGGGTCATATGCTGCGACTGGTTTACCTGATAAATGCATTAACCCTTGACAGTTTGGTGAGCGTAAATCCCAGAGTCGTAAAGTCTTGTCCAAAGATCCTGATAAAAAAGTGTCTTCTATGGGAGATAAACAGAGTGTAACCACTTTTTTGGTGTGTCCCTGGAAATATCTTATGTATTTGTTGTCATGTAGTGACAAATATCTTATTGTATCATCAACTTTAGTGGAACTGTGAATTGCTGTGTTTTTAGCATGGGTGAAATGTATCAGATCAACTCCATATTTCTTACTGTTAACTGTAATCATTTGAGTTCCTTTTTCGCAATCATATATCACAATTTGATCATCTTCACTGCATGAAATTAGTGTTTCACCATTCGGTGAGAAATCTATACTGTTTATTTTATCTGTATTTTCTCGAAATACCTTCGCCACCTTAAAACTCCTGACAACTTGGTCTACTAGCTTCATCATAATGTTCAGAATGAAACGCCGATGAAGCAAATATTTCTTTTCTTCGAAGCTTTGATCCAATATATTGTCAAACTCCTGAAGATCAGAACAGCAGAATCACTGTACGACGTAGTGAACACGATAACTACTGGGCACAACAGTCGGTAGATATTTGTCTGTTAATGCTGGCTGATCAACGTATCGTTTTGTGTTAGTTAATTCAATTTTCACAACGGTGCTTCTTTTTCACATGAGCTTGCCTTCATAAAATTCATTATACAAACAACCACAGACCAGCCATCTTTCAGCTAGAGAAGTGCGAAAACTAGATGAAATGATTGACTCGTAATCGTATAATAATCGAACTTAACATTCGTATCCGTGTCGACCATGTTATTTAAGAGCAATAAACAATTTTAACTTACAATCACGAAATAAAATGTTAATTCTAAGGTTTTTCGTGCAAAAAGCAAAAATAGATACCATGGCGATTATTTATCGACAACGATATTTGTCTACTTTGGGTACTGTAAAGTGGGTGAATAATCAAATTTGAGGGATCTGGAATCTGGATGAAATCTGGAAAAATAATATTATAAAATACAACATACAGGCATTCATATAGTTCTTACAGCCAATAACGATAGCACAACAAAGATAGCATGATAAACTAAGCTATAATCAAGTCGTTGTTATTCACCCCGTTTTTAATACAAAAGCGGACCTCAAATTTCAAATGACCCAAAACTAAATAGGTAATAATTGAATAACGCTTACCTTTCAGCAAATACACAAAGTAAACAAGATTTGTTTTGTTTCCGTTAGTTATGTTGTAGATAATTGCAAAGTTAGTCACCATCAAATCTGCTTTCAACTGTTGGACTCACTTTGACACCAAAAATATCTGCGAAAATGGCAACTTTCAAATGAAAGCATTAAAAACTATCAAAAAATTAAGTTTATTTAAAAATGCAAGGCCTTGTTTTATGAATATAAGCGTGATTAAAAAAAGAAAAGATGTTTATTTCTTTCCATAAAAATGTTGCACTACACCCCGCAGTTGCTTTTTACCCCAGAATACTGATTGTTTCCAAAGAAGTTATTGATAGGTAGGTACATAGCAGCGTTGCCAGTTGTTTTTTCGCCAAGTCGGGACTTTGGTACTTTTTGAGTGAAAATAGCTGGATTCTTCCGTCAGAAGCGGGACATAGTAAAAAAACGTATATAATCAAAGGTTTTCAAATATTTATCTTTTTATTTGACTTAAAATTACGTTTACGGGTATTTCGCCAAAAATGGTCAATTTTGCCTAATTTCCTTGGTACGAAATATATTTTTGTTTTTAACTATTTTTAGTTTCCGATTGCATTAAGTAGCAAAAACTAAGCTAATATATCTAAAAGGGGTGTCATAATTCGTTTAGAAACAAAGTTATAAGGTCATGAACTTTTGGTAGCCAAGGAAATTATTATAAATATTTTTTTCTCTAAGTTTTCTTCTGTGATTTGCTTTTTTTTGTTCGACCTATTTTTGTGTACCTTCGCAAACCAACATAGCAATAAATATTGTATCATTACGACCTTTTTACACAAATAAGGAAGATAAATGCAGTAGATTGAGTTTAGAGTTAAAAACAAGTTGTTCTACAGGGTGTTTGGCGCATCGTGTGCCAAAATTATTTGGCGGATAGAATGGGTCATTTCCTATATTTTCACCCCCCATAACACGATCCATGTCAGGCGGCTACTTTCATATTAAGTTTTTTAGTAATTTCACCAAAATACCCAAATCGCATCATTTAATTTCGATTTAAAAAAAAACTACTAAGCGTAGCCTCAAAGTAAATATTTTGTTTTGACGTGCATTGATATAGGGTTGCATCAAATCTAAATTTACTGGCAAATATCATCTAGTAACCTGGTTTAAATAAATTAAATGAAACCATCAATCGAGCTAGTAGGATTTATTTTATTATTCATCAATAATCAAATTCAGAACTTGAATATTCAACTGCAATGTCTGATCATGAACGCTTCAAACTCGGTTCTTCTTTCCCAATTCCATAAAATTCAAAACTTAGAAAGTGACAAAAACTTTAAAATAGGTAGTTGAAACAGACTACAGCTAATTTTCATAGTGGACTGTACTATACGATAAACATGTCAGTCAATTTGACAACCTTTGTCGGAAACATTATTCAATGAAAATATTGTCCGAACCCTTAGTATTTCTCTTCGACAAATACATTAACACATCGTGAACCACTTTTCTTTCACGACTATAAAAATATTTTAGCAATTTAATTCACAAAATCAATTGCAAACATATAAAATAAAGTTTGTTTACACTTTGACAACAATAGACTGACATGCAAGGTGACATGTTAATGAAGTTTTCAGTTACTGTTGCCATTAAAAGAAATTAGTACCATTAGTTTTCCGCAACATGGCGAGGGTTTTTATGTTCCTGGTCAGGCTATACTATTAATATTATCATGCTTAATTTACATTCAATAAGTTTTTTGTTCTTCTTCTTTTTTGATGATGTTGGCAATACACGTCGAGGTCGACTTGATTTGTGCCATTTTCAAGTATTTAAGTGATATTATACGAGTTACAAAATGAGATTGTACGTNATTCTGATACCCATTTCTTAAAATGTCAATTTTAAACTTATTCCAATAAAGAAATACTCAAAATTTTACTTTACGCCGAATTAAAAATGGTCTTTTATAATTTCCTAGGCCATTTTATGCCACGGAAAACAAAGAAATTAGGGCCACAGAAATTAGATTTATGCCTAAAAGACACCACAGACAAAAACCTATTTACCCTATGCATTTACTATTTAAATCATGGGTTTACCCCTACAGACACTACATCTGTGTAAATAAACAATAAAATTAATCCATTGTTTAGTTGCAAAAAGCCGTCCAAAGAAATTGACTTTTTAGTAAACAAAAACCCAAGGAGGGACCTACTTATGCGATTTGTCGCGAAACTGGTCAACGCAGTATTGTCGTGCCTCAACGGCCTTTTGGGACGAAATGGCCAAGTGTAACGGTGCAGTGTATTATATTCTAAGTTCTTTCGTTTCGTTACTACAATGTTCGAAATGAAGACCCAGGGAAATTATACTTTTGACTCGGACAAGAACTTAACTTCACTTTATTTCCTTCCTTTAAGTATTTGACATTTAATGTTTTTATTTTCCGATAGCCAAACGTTTCTCAAATATAAACAGAGTGCTATTAGAATGAAATTACGCTTCAATTTGTGATAGTGTGCCTTCATTTTGGCAAACAACAGTAATGGACATAACAAGGAAATTAGAAAAACGACTTTTGATTAAGTTTTTCTACGCTATTATTTGTAGTATCTGCTATTGTAATAGCAAAAACAAATAAAACTTTCGATGAACTTTCCCATAAAAATATTTTTATACGTATAGATATAAAAAAACATGTGTTCGCCTGCCTGGACACAGAAAATTTACTGTTTCGGCGAAATACCCTTACGTGACAATAGATAGCAAAAGTAGCCATAGAAAATGTATTTTAACAAAAAAAATATATTTTTAATCAGATTTACCTACTCTATCGTTAAATTCATCTTTAGAATAAAAAAAGAAAACAATTAAAAAGTTTTATTCTTTAGAAAATATGGCGTTTTAAACAATAGTCTAGTGCAGTGAGTGTCTCTCTCCGAAAAGCGGGACCGAGCCTGTCCCGCGCGGGACATTTAAATTTGATTTAAAAATCGGGACGTCTTGCAACGCTGGTACATAGGTACATACTCCATTCTCTTCTCATTCAATCAATAATCATAATTTGTTGTATTTGTCATCATTATTTATTATTATTTTCTCCCATGTCTCATTATTCTCTCGTACTTCTTTTTCGTTTTAAAATCTCTAGTCTCCAAACATAATATCATTTATACAAATAGTTTGTGTAAGCTATGCAAACTAAAGCCGGGTCTCCAGTGTGGTCTTTGGCGCCTACACAATCCGGCCACAGGCTATAAGTATTGTAAAAAGTAAAAACTATTACTGAAAATTAGTTTCAACTCACATGATAATTCACATCAGGCTTTGGTTGTTTCTAATTTATAGCCTGACCAGGAACATANGAGATCAAGTAATGATATAATGATGGATGATAGATGATACCCCTTCCCACCCTTTGAGTCTCAGTAAAGTTGTGGTGCTTTACTGAGACCTCCTATGGATAACTTGAAAGAACCAGAAGAATCACGATGCACTGTTTTGCTTCACTTGCCCACACTCATGCACGTTCACGAACACTCAATGGTTAATAATCCACCATTATTACACATTAATAGTTGCCCAAACACTTCAGATTCCCGCCAAGAAGTCCAAGTTTTTTGTTCAAATATGGTTCAAAACTAGGCCATATTTTCTAAGATATCGATTGTACCTAGTATCGATTTCATTATCTTTCGAGTCTGTTACCTATCATTCACCCCCATCACCATCACTGGCCCACTTACCAATTTAAAAAATTAAGTTGAAACAAAATGGACGGACGAGTGCAATGGCGTTCTTGTGATTTTGAATAATCGGTGTGGAAATATTTGTTGTTAAACTCGTGGAATCTCCCATAAAATAGACCAGAGAAATCTTTAGCCGACTATTCTCATCAGATCACTTATATCTTGCTACTTATTGAAATTCAATTTAGCTCATTGAAATTAGTTTAGCCAGGCAGGAGTCTCGACTTTGAGTATGGTATCCATTTTGTGATCTACCTTGTTGTGTGGCGTTTTTCGTAAGTATAAAGTTTTCGATAATTTCTGTTCTAAAGGCACAAAATACACGTTGTTTTTGAAAATATTTTCTTTTAATGACGCTAGAAATGTAGTATGACGTGGTTGAGTGTTGTTACAACTTGTTATTTGAACAAATCTTTCTTGTTCTACTGTCCAAAAATTTAGAAAGAAATCTGCAAAGTACTTGTCTTTATTAAGATAAGTATTGTGGTGCCAGTCCTAAATTTTATCTCCTAGGTCAATAAACTAGTTTTAACTGTGTCATGTCATGGTTATTATAAGCTTAATGTACCTACCTGGGCCTAACTGCTAGAGTATTACATACCATCCAGCAGATTAACCCATAATTTTTCCACATGATAGCATCATAGGATAATATTTTTCCAGAGTACTAAAATTTACAAATCTTTTTGATAATTTATTCATTTCTCACTTTAATGCATTTTTTTTCATCTTTTTGGTAAGTACCAATTAAAAGTAATTAAAAATAGTGTGATAACAAACACTTTTTATTTGTTTAGCGTCTTCCATACAT